GAGGGCTTTTGTTTGTTTTTTCAAATAGAGATCGAGTCTCCCTATGTTGCCCAGGCTGGTGTTGCACTCCTGGCTTCAAACGATCCTCCCAACTCGGTCTCCCAAAGTGTTAGGATTACAGGCATGAGCCACTGCGCCCGGCCAAAAAGAAGAGTTTTTAAAAGGCACAGACTTTACTTATAAATATTCTATGGCCACATCTAAATAAGGAAAGAACTGCATTTTTTCAGGAATTTGGTCTGTCCAAAATCAGCCACTAGGAGGAGCACTCCAGAAGAGGGAGGATTATTTTATTTTATTTTTATTTTTTGAGAAGGAGTCTCGCTCTGTCAACCAGGCTGGAGTGCAGTGGCGCGATCTTGGCTCACTGCAACCTCTGCCTTCCAGGTTCAAGCGATTATCCTGCCTCAGCCTCCCGAGTATAGACGGGGTTTCACCATGTTGGCCAGGCTGGTCTCGAACTCCTCACCTCAAGTGATCCGCCCGCCTCGGCCTCCCAAAGTGCTGGGATTACAGGCGTGAGCCACCACGCCCGGCCGGGGAATTTTTTTAAAAGAGCGGAGTTTATCACGTCTAGCCAGTAACAATACTTTTTCCCTTTTCCACGATCTGCTGTTCCTTTGCGAGGTTGGTCCCTTTAATTCAAAATCCTCTCACCCTTTGCCTTGTGTGGTCCAACGCAGCATCTTCACACACGTTACTTACCTAGAAGGCGTGGCTCCACCGTGAATTCTAATTGGTCCCTGCTATCGAAGCACTGTCCCCTTATTGGCTCTCGCTCCAGTGGCCCCCGCTGCTTTTCTTCCTCTTCCAGCAAAGGCTCTTCACGCCCAGAGTTCGAATCTCGCGATCGGGATGGGGACGGAGTACCGGCCTGGGGTGTGCCAGAGCCTGGACTGAGCTGGGGAGTCAAGACCTCGGGCGGTGAGGACTGAGCAAGTCGGAGTCGTAGGTCCAGTTCTGACACGGTAGAGAGAGAAGGCCATGAGCTTTCTTCTTGGAGGTGCCCCGAGGAGAAACCACCCACCCCTCTTGGCTTCGGTCCCAGCACCTCGGACATCTCACCTTCCCCAGCTTCTCCTGCCTCCAATCTGTTGGATTCTTCGGGTTCTTCGTCTTCCAGCGGGGTGGAGCTGCTGGTGGAAGAGTCCTCCCCGGATCCCACTCCCTGGGCCACCCAGCCCAGCTTGTCCAACCGAAGCCTCAGGTCTTCCAGGGGGCGCTCGGATGGAGGGGCGGTGTCAGAATCACCCCGGCGTCCAGGCTCTGGGGATTGGCTCAGGCTGGGGATGCTCTCCAAGCTGTCGCCCAGGCTGGGCTGAGGGTGCTGGTCTCGTGGTTCCGAGACTGAGCGGCCCTGGGGGCGGGGGCGGCGGGCAGTTGAATCCCTACGGCCCCCGGAGCCCACTACGCCATCAAAGGCGATGTAGGAGAAGGTCAACTCCCGGGGGGTGCCCCAGTCCTGCGACGTGGTCTCCTCCTCGTCCTCCTCTGAGAATTCCCGGGCTGTGTGCAGCTCCCGAAAATCAGAGTCGTCGTTCCCTCCTGCAGTGGGTGAAGGAGAGCCTTGTTTCCCTCAGCAGGCCCCTGAGCTGCCCAGCCCTGAACCCCTTCACATGCTCCCCTCCACTTACCTTCTGTGGAATCAGGGGTTGAGGAGGCTGTAGACGGAGCTTCTTCTGCGAGAGGGAAAGAATCGAAGACTCTTAGAAGCTTAGACTGTCCGAATCACAGAAGTGTGCCAGTCCTGGAATCTTAGAATATTTGAATCACGGGACTTTTAGAACATTCTGCACACAGACTCTAAAACCTAGCATCACTGCCTGATGTAGCTCAGAGTCTTAGAAGTCCAAATCCAAGAATCTTAATCTTAGAGTCTTCAAGACTCTAAGCTGGGCTGGGTGGCCAACAAAGTAAGAATCTTAGGAGGTTTCAATTCATTCATCCGTTCAACAACCATTTATTGAGCACCTACTATGTGCCAGGCACTGTTCTAGGTCCTGGGGATATAGCTGTGAAGAAAACAGACAAAATCCCTACCTTACTAGAGCTGACACTCTTTGGGAGAGACAAACAATAAACAAGTGAATATACGATGTCGGGTGCAGATGAGCATATGAAGCAAATTAAAGAAAGGTAGGGGGAGAGAAAGTGAAGAAAGTGAAGGGGTGCTGTTTCTCATAGGGTGGTCAAGAAGGCTTCTCTGATAAGAGGAAGTTTGATCAGAGATCTGAAGGAAGTGAGGAAGCCATGCAGATGTTCAGGGAAGACTTCCAGGTACAGAAGGAAACCAGTGCAAAGGCCCTGAGCCAGGCACCAAGATTGGCATCTGAGGAACAGAAAGGTGCGAAGATGTGACTGGAGAAGAGTGACTGAGGAGGAGAGGGGTGGGAGGTGAGGACAGAGAGGTAAGGGGGGTGGGGAGGGACAGATGAGATGGTCCTCCCTTTGTAATCTGAAGTTAACAACAAGATCTTAGAATGTTGGGATGATACTCGGATATGCTGAAATCACCAATTCTTGGCATTTTGGCATCGGGACACCCAAGACATGGAAGTGGCTAGATCTAAGGGTGTTGAAATCCCCAGCTGTCAGAACCCCCACGTGCGGGACAGAGAACGGTAGACATGAACTGTTACAGCTGTGAGCTCAGAGATTGGGAGGATCAAGCTAGGTGTTTTCAGCTGGGAATCCAGCCCCTTAGAGCTAGTTCAGAGCTTTGCACGTAGATGATGCTCAATGCGGTTTAGAAATTGAAATCTGACGCCCTGTGCCCTCACCTTGTTTTCTCAGCTGGGGAATGGGAGGCCTGGAGTGGTGTGGGTCTTCCCCAGGATTACCATTAATCAGTGGTAAAGGCCACTAAGGACCCATGAGTCCTTGCCCCCAAACCACGGATGGCTGTTTTCCCGGGACAGGGGGTTGGACAGTTTGGGCGAGGTCGGGACTGTCTCTTGGACAGAAAACGGGGTGGGATGCGAAGACGAGTGATTAGGAGCCAGACCCCTGTTTTCCATCCTGGATCTACCCTCCGTTCAACCCCCTCCCCGCCAGCTGCGGCCAGCACCAGAGCCTGGGGACAGCTCCCCGCGCGCGTCCACGTTCCCGGGCGGGGCCGGGAGGCACATCCCAGAGCGCAGCGCGCCCCTCGCCTGCTGTCTCAGTGGCCCCTCACCTCCGCCCTGTTTCGTCCAGGTCCTCCGGGTCAGGCTGCCCCCGTCGCCGCCAGAGAGCGGGGGAGGGGAGAGCTTCCTTTGTCTCCTATGCCTCCTCCCCCCACCCCGGCTCTCCTGCGGGCAAGCGCTGAGGGGACACCGGGGAGTACCCCACCTGGACGTCTGGGGCCCACCCCAGGCCCCAGCCTCCCTCTACTCACTGCAGTGGGCGAAGACCGGCAGGACCTGCCCCATGGCCCCCCTCGGGCCTGCATCGGGACCCCCGCCC